TTAGCTGTTTGGAATGACTGCCAGATGAAGAGAGGTTTAAAAGACTGGGACTTTTCAGCGTAGAAAAGGGGACGCTAAGGGTGGATATGATAGAGGTCTATGAAATCATGACTGCTATAGAGAAAGTGAATAAGGAAAAGTTATTTACTTGTTTCCATAACATAAGAGCTAAGGGTCACCAAATACATATAATAATGCTACCAAACAGAAAAAATGAAATTTGAGTTAATAATATAATAGTACAATTATTACCTTTTACCTTCTGGATTCCAGGCTTACACCCGTTTCTAATATACTTTGCTAATAATAAGACCAAATTAATGACAGATCTGCATAGGTTTGCTTACAGTAGGTTTATTTTCAGTAGTTATTTCTAGAATTGAAATCCATCATTTGAGTGTCCTAGCTTTAAGAGAGATTTGGAGTGATCAAATATTGACATTTCAGCATGTTGTGCTGGCAACTCACCTTTTCAGATTGATTTTGTGAGGATTGTAGTGTATTTAAGTATTGGATTTATAGTGTTAAAAACTGTTTGGTTCTAAGGAATTCATTTTAGAGTCTCTGCTTAGTGTATGAACAATAAGCTTTTCTTGTAATTGGAAAGGGTCTACTGCGTTTTGGGCACTACAAAACAAAACAAAAAAACCTGAAAGTTATGGTGTATAAGTAGTCCTCATTCAAACAGCAATTTGATAGTTTTCATTTGTAGATTTCATGTTTTTAAGAGATTGTAATAGTCTGGCAGTGCATGCCCTTAATTCGTACTAGCATTAATTGGTGTTAAACATTTCATTGAAAAGTTCTTCCTTGAGCCCTCTGTCATACTGCTAAGAAAATGTAACCTCACGGTAAATCGTTGTGAATATGTAATTAAAGTACAGCCTATTTTAGCATGTGAATTAGTTTCATATTAAACAACAACTCTTGATTTTTTTTCTCCAATCTGCTTATTAATATTATCCTGGAATAAGGATGTTAAAATTAGATTAATCAACTAATTGAATAGTCAGTGGAATTTCCATCGACTATTCAATTAGTTGATAAGGGTGCTTCCGCTTTGAAATGTAGCAAGAGCCCGCCTGGCTGTTGCTACATTTCAAAGGCAGAAGTACTGTGTGGCGTTCCGCCTTTGAAATGTACAGAAGCCTTAGCGGGGACTCTTGTACATTTCAAAGGGGTGCACCCCTACCCCCTTCTATGGAGCTGGGGGGAACTGGCTTTTAAGCCAGCTCACACCAGCATCCCCTCTCCTTCCTCTCTGCCCCACCCCCCCGTTGCCTCTTTCTGATAGAGGCAGCAAGGAGGGGCAGGGAATGACTAGTCGACTAGTGTATCGACTATCTGATAAGCTTTTGCTTAGCAGATCGTCAACTAGTGCTATCCTGGAAATGGAGTGCTAACAAAGTATGTTAAGACATGCAGAAAGCTAGGGAGAAATTAATCAATATATAGTGCAGTGGTCCACAACGCGGTGCCCGCGGGTGCCATGGCGCCTGCCGGGGCATTCGTGTGCGCCCGCTGACAACCTGGCCTGCCCCCGGTGCACGGGAGGCACCGGCCCCAGGCGC